CATCTCCCTATGCCATGCAAATTATGAATATTGCAAAGGATAATGTTGGTCCAAAGAGACACGGCCCTCAGTAAAACTAGCATTTATTATATTATTGTCAACGTTGTTGGATGACACCTAATACCCATAGAGCCACAAATCCTTTAAACATAACGCGGCAGTTAGTTTTGGATGATGTGTCATCTCCAGAGTCATTGGGACGGCAGTAGCTCAACTGACGGTAGGATGCTCAAAAATGTTTGTCACAAGGACTCTAGGCTTGGTAGTATCTCTTAAGATATAGAGAAGGAACATAAGACTATGAAAGATTCCAGCGCAAAATGGTAAGAATTCAAGTAAGCCAGTACCTTTTTGTCTGCCATAGAAAGAGAAGATAATCAATGATTTCGATATCATTAGTTTCGACAAAATGTATACCATATATAGTAACTGATTCCATTCACCTAGTCAACAGTGTGATGTCTGAAAGCCTATCGATCTGAGCGACTAGACAGATGTAAGCTAGCACGCGTGCTAACTCATGCGCTTACAGTATATTAGCCTTCGACGGATTAAAAATACTCAAGCTACAATTGATTGTTAAACTCACCCAAAGCGATAAAATATATCAATACTTTTTAAACAGTTGCTTGATACCTTTCCTGTTACGATTAGTTTGTTCAGTAGGACGCTAGAACACGAAACTTCCTGTTGCACAGAAGGTGTTATTTTTACCAGAAGATAGGCAAAACTTTCTTCGAAGTACTGTTCACAAGCGTTCATGCACAGTTCCATGCGTCGGACAATTCGGAGAAGCAGTAAGACTAGGCCGAAGCGAGTAAATCTTCAAGTAGCGCAAGAACAGAATATACCGCAACTTCTGGAAACTCGTAGTGGAGTTCACGTATCATGAGCTTCACATTTGAGAACACAAAATGTCACAAAGAGCCAAGACAGGGCTCCAGCGTAGGTAACCAATGTCATGGACTCGTTCGCTAGACAACAATTCTAGGTCAACATGGGACCTTCGTGCAGATGCGTTGGCCATGGTGCAGCAAGATCTCTCTTGCTTGTGTCCCTGGACAACGCCTGGCTACAGCTTCTAGCACTTGTGTCGGACGATTGGGAGCATACAATTCACCGGTGATGGTGTGTTGCCGTACGAACGGTATAATAGTCATACGACCGGTCTTGGCCAGGAACACAGCCGACAATTGCTTTGCCACACTACCCTCATGCATGAATCGCTAAGGCTTCGCCCCACCAATGACCGTCCACTGCGTTAATTGTCCCTTGCTGTCTGGGTGGAAACTTTACGCCCTGGTCTCATCACTAACGTGAACTTTCCAAACACAAGTGGAACGTCCACCATCATCCTGACAATCATGCTGCGGCACCAATTCACCCTAGCTTCTTTCTGGTCCTCACTGAACCAATGGGGTACCTAACTTGTGCAACCGTCTCTGAGGCCTTGGTTCTCATGTAGAATGGTGCAAGTTGATCCTGATGGGATCTTCATGACTTCGCCCAGCTGTAAAACAGGCCCCCGTGGGTCCTTATCAAGTGTCGCTTGCACAGCAATAATATCCGCGGTGGTGACCTCCACAGGTCGACCAAACTGGACTCTTTATCCAGGGACAGCCAGCCGTGCTCCCATTCAGCAATCCGCTCAAACACAGTCGTACTTCATCATCATCATCATCAACATCATCATCAATAAATGCAGTAGGTAAAGGCACAACGCTCTTGTGCTGCTGCAAACCACCTTTGTAACCATAGAAAAGTATCCCCTCTATGGACATATACTGAATTCCATCCTTACAGTCAGCGTATAACGAGCCTTAGGAATCGTGAGATGTACTGGGCTGCTGATATTTGGTTGCGTGAGTTAAACTCACTGGAGGATATTCAGAAGAAATCACGGTTTATATTTTGTTTGACAAGTCCTCTGCAACTAAACTGCGTGCTGCGGATAGGTGGCGCCTGCGTTACCTTTAAATATGCATTATTTACGCGTGCATATAGTGCAAGTTTCACCTGACTTGCACTGTTGTGCCAAGTTACAAAATTCTTTTCATACCTGACAAGTACAAAAAAGCAAAATATAAACTTAGAGTGCAGGTTTAGCAAGCGCACAAAACTTAAGATCAATCTGAAATCGATGTTAGTTCCTAGAAGGTGTAACCAACATATCGGCAATTTTCAAAAATGGTTCAAATGTTGTAACCACAACCAGATATAAGGCAACATAAATCCCACCTTACAGTATCAAAAGCAACATGCAATAAGATATTAGTAGTCATGAATGTGTGTTTGGCGAGGAAGCAGACTCCTAGCGTTGGGAACCAAAGCATTTCAATGGATTTTATAATATCACATATGTATAATAATATGTTTATGGTAATGTATGCATGACGTGTAATTTATGTATGTAATTTATACATAAAAATGCGCGTAGGATCTCTTATTAGTAAGCGGAGCACACAACGATTGATCTAAATCTGGATACATCCCCTGATTCAACTATGCTAAAATGCATTAAAATGGACGTTTGATTTCTGCACTCAAAACTGCTGAACTATGCGTTCTTCCTAACCGACTCTAGTTGGATGGAAAATTTATACGATTTAATAGAAAGCAAGAAGTGAATATGAATTTTAAATGAAATTCAGATGTTTATTTGTCAACATTCAATTCTCGGTCTCCCACTTTTATTATGTCTTGCACAGTAAGCACGTCTAATTCTTAAAAACTAGTAGAACATTTCACTTCTGATTTAGTGCTAAAATCTATATTTGAATGGGATAGAAACCGTTTCTCTAAAATCCGAGCAATAGTTTTCCAGGGATTCTTAAATTAATGAAAATTCTCTTTGTATTTCGTCATTGTTTATCTTTTAGTGTTCTTTGTCTGTTAGCGCATATTAATATCCGTTGAACCCGGTGCATTTGATCATAGAAGCATATGAGTTACCTTCAGTAATTGGTGGGACAACTCAGCGAATAACTGGTTAACACGAGCAAAAATTGTTTGGCCTCTTCTGGAATACTTATTAAAGTCGAATGGTCTAAGCTGTATAAAATGCAATGTTGCAAATGCTGTTACTGACCAAGTGGCCAAAGCGCATCTGTCTCCATGAAATACCGTTAAGAGCCATAGATAAATTCGGTGCATATTACAAGCCATTCAGTGTATTACGCAACCAGTTTGACTTCACAGTTAAGCCATCAGATGCGTCCAGCAGTATCCTTTGATCGACTGTTTTGTTGTGGAACCAGTATTATATACTTCTAGCAATGTGGCAATTTACCTCAGGTCTGGTGCTTAATTAAGGCACATAAATTATCTTTGGATATTGCAGTTTGATGCATAAGACATAAAGGCGAGGAAACACTATATATTGTGAGAGCGCAAGCTTAATTGTCATACCTAGCGGGTTAGCTTAATGGCTGTGGGGTGTTATGCTAATGGATCTAAGAAAACCTTTTATCACATTATTTCTTAGGTTAGACGGGTTTGCATATCAGAGAAAGTTTTGCGACGGTCATGCAGTTGAGGCGCTAATCATCGTAGTCAATGTGTACGGTATTCTACGGTCATTTGCTTCACCATCGGATGCGTCTGACATCCGGTAGTACTATTCCCGGTGACTGGGTCTACTGCACATCGGTGCACCTATCACAGCTTAAGAACTCTAGTTGAGTTTCATCATAAAATCTACATATCCCTATGATATCTTAAAATTGATACCATACCTTCAATACCGGTCCATTTCAGTTAGGTACGTGTATGTGGGAAAATTTTGGTCAAAGACTAGAAGGCCTTGTGTCGATAACTTGGATCCTACTGCAAATTATGGCATTTGCCGCAGACGGGAAATTAGTTCCTTAACATTCCATCAGGAAATCTTAGTATTCTGTGTGCCATCGCTCCGGCGCGAGGTGTATTCAAAGTGCGAGGCAAGATGATACCAAACGTGTATTATGCAAACTAGAAGTCCGGTCCATTCACAGCGTAGCGTAGTTAAACGCCGAAGTTCAGTGATAAATTTAACCGATATGTAGCAGTTATATTTATGACTTAGACCGTTAGTTATCTGCGATTGTTTGGACCGCATGTCGCTTACAGCGATCCATTTTAACGGGAATGGCAAATAGGTATTTTCGGATTAAGAGTGATGACGCTGAACACAGCTTTGTCTGAGCTGCCCGGATTAAAACATCCTTAAAGTTATGCCGACCGTGAGTGCAGTGGGGTTGAAAATCATAGATTAATGACAAATGCACAGAAGAGAATTTCATGTGATGAACATTACTGTTGGGTCAATAGGTGGGCTTTTCTTTCCAACTGCCGAGTTTTCGCGTAATAGTAAACAGTGGCGACTATTTAAGAAAATATATCCGTTTAACCATTTCTTCAGCTACCCTATGCAAATTATTTATTATATACATGCATTTTATGTAAGGCGAACTTGCTTGCGAGAGCCCAGAGGTAACAATTTTCGTACTGTTTCCCGGAACTTATTTATTTAGGCTCCGCTATCTTAGAATTGTAAAATAAATTTCTTATATATGCGATTTTGTACGGTATGCAACTGTTTAGATGTACAACAATCAAAAGCAACGTTAAAATTGCAGCAATGAACTGTCGTGCAATCTACTGTTGACAAATTATCGAACTATGTGTGTTAGGATCGTAAAGAAAATAATATTTAACGATTTACAGGATCAATAATATGGTTGTACACTCGGCCACTCAGCAGTTTCTGGTGGTCTGGGACAGAGCAGCACAGGCATAGCTGTAGTCATAACTAGGCTTATTGCACCCTAATAAAGAGTGCTTCCTGCAGCACGCTCTACTGCACAGAAGCAGTAATAGACATATTGATCAGACACTTTATTTGGACGGTGTCATGCACTGTCCGGACAAATACCCTTTCATTTTATTTATTTATCTATTAAACGAACTTCTAATGTAGAAGAGTTATCAAGGTGAAGGTTGAAAATGCCAAAAACACTCACTTCCAAATGCTGTGCAAGCAATTATACTGAGCATCATTGGCTTATATCGATGACCACACAAGAAGAGCAACAGCAACATCAAGAGTAGGGAAGAAACCAGAAATATTATTCCGATTATGTTGAATGCCACGTAGCTTCGTTCTTTGTCCGTATTCATTCCTGACGTAAGAAAATGAGGATTAACCTTGGAGACTGGTTCAGAAATCACCACATTTCTGTTCAAATTTTAATGCTAAGTTACTCTGTTGCTTCGGAGGCGATCATTAAATTTCTATCTACTTTAACTAAAATAATGCCTTGGATAATAAATTCGCTGATTCATTAGAGAAGAAGCAGGTCAAGGATGTGCTCAGATAACAAAAAATAAAAGAATTTCTCAACTGGAGTAGTTTAGTTATTTTAAACCTGCGGCAGTTGATCAACATGGGTGCTACTGATTCCAAAACATCGTAGCTAATGGGTGAAAAGTACCAGTATTTTACTAAAGAGCTTTTGTGAATTGGGATCAGGAGCTTTGGGTTTGACATACATCACTTTCCAGTAGATTATCCCTTGTCAGCTTATCCCCTAGACGTTCATTCGTAAGTTAAAAACTATTTTTATAGCTCACTATTAACTATAATGCGTATATTTTTTAAAATTCACTGGATGATTTCCTTAACAGCTTCTTGTGTTATTCATGTAAGTAAAGTGTTCAATTAAACTGAACTTGCGGTTTCTTGTTCCATCGAGGTTCCACTTGGTTATTTGTGAAAAGCTATCAATTTTGTCCACAGTGACATCTATTTCTTTGATTTCTTGTCAGTATTGCCTTTCAAATGAACTAATAAACTAACTACTCAATAGCCTTCGCGTAGACATACCTAGTAGTTTTATCGGGGTTCACCCTTACATAGGCTTTATGTATTGTAATCAGTCTCATGCAACCAGATGGATATCCATTTTTCAACCTATAGCTTTTGTACATAATTGGACAATGAATGAACGCTTTCATAAATATGAAGGCGACATGTTTCACCCATGTTTTGCATATATCAGCTTTATTTATAATATTGGCATAACATTATAGCTGAGGTTTTACACTATTCTAAGTATTAGAAATACTCACTCTTCACGACAGGATCTGTTGCAAGTATGATAATTCCCAGGATCACTCCAATCACCAGGGTGACCAAAAACATCATCCTCATGGGACTTATGGCGACCATTTTTGCCAGAATCAGCCACCGAGCACGAGATTCACCATTTACAAGCGTTTGCGAGCAGATCCCGAGGTAGCTTATTTTATGAAGACTGACAGTGTGCGTTTGCCGCAATCAATTCCTCTGTCATGGTCGATGGTCTTCTGTCGTCATGTGATCCGGCGAATGAGCGTACGCGCTCCGCATCATGTGTTCAAGTGGACAAAGTGTATGCATTGGCTATGAAATAAACCAATCAAAAGGCTAGCTTAGTGGCTGGTAGTCAGAGTATGATACTGTTACTCTGCATATGGTTACCCTGCTGAGTTGTCTAAGACAGAAATTGGTGTCGACAGCAGGTCGCTATCCCCCCCCCACTCCACAGACGCTGCGGAAATGAATGATTGCATGAAGGGTCAGATGATGGAACAGCGGTCAGATAGCAATTGACAGTGCGCCACTACTCTCGGTCATTTTGGAAGTTCGGCACTGTTTATGAGATAATTGCAGGGAACATGTGTTCCCTTTCCTTCGACAACTGGGCAGGTGAATTGAGTGACAAAACATGGAAGCCCGAAGGAAGAAGTGAAGTAAGCGCTTGTAGGCAATTTAAAAGCTGCGGAAATCAGTGGATTAGATTGATAGACAAATCGTGTAATAATGGCATAGAAAAATGAAGGAGCTAAATCCCAGTTGTTCCCGTTGGGCTTGCTGGGTGAAAATAGCAACTTCAACGACCATCCATTTACAGTAGATAAGCAGATATTTGTGGACTTGCAATGACAAAAATGCAAAACCGCCTATCGCATTTTTATGGATCAGATTGTGGAACACGGTTTTGTTTTGCCTTGCTAGGTCCCCTGGCGTTTAAAGGGTTTTATATTAGCACGCCCAATTGATCCTAGCGATTCTTTTCCGCATAAATCAAAGAACCTGCGGAACAGTGTAATGAAATGTAGGACAAAATATTATTTTCACTTCCGATGCGACGTTCAAAATAGTTAGCCCGTTTGTGACACAATCTAATATAAAGCGATCTTCTGCGTTTATTGTTTCGAAATACGAACTCATGATGTATTGTTAGAAAAATGGAAATTGACTTTCTGGAAGCTTACCAAGCCATGTACTTGGCAAAGAAAACGCTGCTTTTCCAAAGCTTTTCCAAGTTGTATGTGCATGGATTGTCATGCCCGAAGCAGTATAGATTTGTAAGGTAACCAGCAAATTGGTTATTAAAGAGCTACATTTTTTGATCGCGCCTTCCTACTAGAGTGTACCTAGTTGACTCAAATTTTACTGCACTCCAAATCGAGTTGCTTGATTCTGTTTGGATAGACGGACACAGTTTTGCTTCTTTTAGTCCAACGCGCCACAATCTTAACACGTATTGCAACAAAATTCACAAAAACCTACAAATTGCAAGGCACCACAATTGCAGCAGGGTGTTGGTGGTCATTGGTACCATTCCCTTTGCTTTGGAAATCACTGCTATCCTAATTTTGATTTAGTGATAGCTAAACTTTGACGAATTTAGGCTAGGTAGTTGATCACCTATAAGTACTATTGATCTGCCAAAACAACAATTAGTAAATGAAACAGCTCGTCCCACAAACATCTGGGAGCAATCAGGTTTCACACTACAGCTCATCAATTCATAACTTCCGAATTCTAAGTTGGAAAATACAAAGAGGCAGAAACATCTCTTTTCCACATATTCTATATCGCAGATTGAGTTGCATTTCTAAGCCAAAGTAGGATTGTGTTCGTCGTATTTCACATTGATACAGTTGTACAAATTGGAGCCTACTGTCTTACGTCAGAATGACAGAAGCTGTTTTTGTCTAGCATGTTGCAGAGAATAAACAAGGTTAGCGCCATCACGTATTTTTCAGCTATCACATTCCACTCTCCATTAGGCTATCTTCGCAAAGCCAGCAAGTTGCCACACGAAGTATTCACGGAGTATGTAATTTAGCAATATAAACGCTGGTCGCGGTGCGCGCGATGCAGGACCACAAATAGGAAGCGGCGAAGGGACAAGCTTTACAAAACACCAAAGAACATTCACACTTAATAAGCAAGCTTGCCCTTAGTTCTACATAGGGAATAGTTGATGCAGACAATTCAGTATTGTGGAGGAGCAGCCGCTTTGCACTAACAGATAACCTTTGTTATTGTGGTTCCTAATCTTGTCTCGTTGGCTGGCTGCAATAAACATGGTTGGTCTAAAATCAAGAGAGGCTACAAAACCGGAAAGCTGCTGAGGTCATCACCATTATCACAAGTAGTAAAGCAGCCACTGGAACTAACATTTTGCTGCCATCCAAACACGACAACCTGCGGAAGGAAGAAAAATATGAGAGAGAGTGAATGGAACTTACCGGAAAACCTTCTCAATAGATTAACATTCAGGGTCAAAAGGCCTAAACCTTGCCAAAATTGCAACGTCACTAACAGCTGGGGTTCAAGCAAAGAGAAAATAGTATCAGCCAGACAGCCTCCCTGCTGCTTTCACCGCACCGGGTAACTTAGGAACAAGCACACTTAACTCTCAGCCCGGCTGCGAGACATCAGCAGACACATTAGTGGTGTCGACTGCGAGCCATGCCCTGTAAACTCTTGAGCCAAACATAAGGCGAGTCAAGTAGAATCCAGCCTGCAAATCGAGATGGACCGACCGCACCCAGTTTGATCTTCAGTGGCTACGTTTCCCGCTGCAGATTTAACTGTTTTCCATCTCGGGCCTTGCGCCTGCATACATTTAGCAGACAAAACAGGACCCTCCTCGGTAAGTCTTGACAGGGCATAATTATTACGTGTCCAGTTCAACATCATCATCATCATCAACAGCAGTACATCAGCCATTTGAACTGATGCTTCGCTGCCATGAAATAAAATATAAGAAGAGGGAGAGAAGGGGGACTTACCTGAAAACCTTAATGCCCTAAGCAAACATTCAGGGTCAAGGCGCCTACACCTTGTGTACACAACATACCGTCACAAACAGCTGGCTATCGTGCAAAGATAAGGCAGCATCGGCGAGACAGCTTCCTTGCGGCTTTCACTGCCTTGCGTCATAATCAGCCATAACCCCGCAGATAACTCAGCACCAAACACACTTTAAACAGACAATCCGATTAGGAGACGGCAGCAGACGCGCCACTGGCGTCGGTTGCGAGCCATGTCCTGCAAAGTCTCGAGCCAAGCACAAGGTGAGTCACTTGGACTCCAACCCGGAAGGCGAGACGGACCAACGGCACCCAGTTTGGTCGTCAGTGACTTCATTTCCCGCTACCAATTCAACTTCTGTCCACCTCGAGCCTTGCGCCATCCTACACCTGGTAGACTGAACAAGGCCCTCCTAGGTAAGCGGTGACCAGGCACGCGTAGCACATGCCCGAGCCAACGCAAATCATTCAGTGCTATCTGTTGTTCTAGGGAGCTAGCATGATTCTCACCACCTAGTACTCGCCTACGCACATCATCGTTACGGACACGCTGGTGCCATCCGACACCAGCAATGCTTCGCAAGCAACGATGATTAAAGACTTGAAGGCGCCTCAGATCTTCAGACCGAAGGGGCCAAGTTTCACTACCATAGAGCAGAATGGCCCTCACTGTGGCCTTGTATACACGGCCTTTCAGACGGAGGGAAACTCCCTTCTGTCGCCAAAGATGACGCAGGTTCAAGAAGGCAGCTCTGGCCTTTGCAACGCGTGAGCTCACGTCAGTTTCTATGCGCCCATCATTGCTGATGCAGCTGCCAAGATAAGTGAATTGATCAACCACTTCGAGTTCCTCGTTAGCAAGCGTCAAGGGGTCATCAAGTGACTGGTGGTCCTGCAGCAACACATTGAACTTTGAAGATGCGAAGTGCATACCAAACAATGGGACCACTCTGGATAGGCTATTCAGGGTTGATTGTGCCGCCGCAAAATTGTCGAAAAGCAAGATGATATCGTCTGCATAATCTAGATCAACTAACCTTTCGCGAGGCAGCACTTCAACGCCTACATCGTTGGATTCCTTCAGGGAACGCTCCATGATATAATCCACGACGAAATTGAACAGAAATGGGGAAATCGGACAACCCTGACGAACGCCACTTGTAGTCGAAAAGCTATCCGATAAGACACCATAGGCCTTGACGCGGCCTGTAGTGTTCGAGTATAGAGCACGAAGGATGTTCACATATTTCTTGGGAACACCTTCCCGCGCAAGTATTTCGAACAGAATCGATCGATCGACTGAATCGGACGCACTCTTGAAATCGAGGAACATAGCTATTGTCGGTCTGCGGTATGCGTGGCGCTGCTCTAGCACCTGCCGCAAAGTGAATATATGGTCTATACAGCCATGTCCTGGGCGGAAACCGGCCTGCTCTTCCCTAATCCGAGATTTCCTTTCTGCAGTGAGGCGACGAACGATAATCGAGGCCAGTAATTTTGTCACAACTGGCGTTAGGCTAATACCCCTGTGGTTTGCACAGTCTGTGTGACTGCACTTCTTGTATCATGCCACTATAATCGATTCGCTCCAAGTAGTCGGCCCACTCTCTTCGTTCCAGATACATTCGAATAGGGAGGTCAGTGCCCTGCACATCCGTCCTTAAATAGTGCAGGTGGGAGGGAATCCCGGCCAGCAGCACTAAAACGATTGAGGGCTGTGATCGCGTTTCGGACTTCGGCCTCCGACGGAGGCTCTAAACTAACCGCCCATGGCTCATCCTGCATCACCTGAGTAGGAAGAGGTCCGGGAGCAGGGGGACAGCTGTACTGATCTTCAAAGTGTTCAGCCCAATGAGCCATCCGGCGCTCCTTATTGTGTATCAGCGCACACGCGCTGTCTCTGATTGTTTCACTGACACCTGGTTTTCTGGGACCAATGGTGCGTATTAGCTGGAAGAGCTTCCGGTAATTGCCTACTGCCCCTGCCTCCTCCATTTCTTTAACCCGACTGGTCCATCAGGCTTCCTTATCAGCACGTAGGCTCCGCTTTAGTTCACGCCA